TCGTTGTGGATTGGTGATGCCTTTATTAGCATCTTGCTGTTTGCATTCGCATTCTCTCGCAGCTTGGAAAACCTCCGCGAGAGTGCTTAGATACGGTGTGCTTTCTGCAATGAAGTTCTCTGAATGGATAAGAGCTCTCAAATCGTGCTGGACGTCATCGATCGTTATTAACTCACGCCCAAATGTGAGGTATGCGGCAGTATACCCGGTACTTTGACAGCGTGTCGTATTCATGGCGAAGCGTATTGCCGGCAACTTCTCTGCCTAGTTGCGGTATTGTCTGCCCACCAGAATTGACAACCGCGTCTTCAGGTCGCGATTCTTCCTCTCTACAGGATTCGCTTGTGGATGGTAAACTGGCGTGAATACTTGGCGTATATCCAGACAGAAGGCAAGTTTTTGCATTACCGCTGACACGAATTGTACACCGTTGTCGCTAATGATTCGCCTTGGGACTCCATAGCGCAAAAATACTTCGTCGATGAGCGTTTTCGCACAAGTTTCAGCGGAAGCTTCTTTCAATGGAAAAAGTACCACCCAGCGGCTTGCAACATCTGCCACTATGTAAATCCACTGCATCTCATTCGTATCGGATGGCAATGGTCCGAACTAGTCGATGGCTAAGGCTTCAAATCGCTGTTTGCTAGAAGTAGTCTGGTATAGGCCCATCGGCTTCAGGTTTGTTGCCTTGTAGCGCTGGCAATCAACACAATGCTTGACAAGGTTCTCGACATCTTTCCGAATTCCTGGCCAATAATAACGCGATGTTATCTTGGACAAAGTTCGGTCGATTCCATAATGACCCGCCGTGTCTTTGTTGTGGTAGTGATTCAAAATTGCTGGACGCTCGGATTCGGGAACAACTAGCTGTCCGTCTTCGCTGTCTTCATCATTGTAGCAGTAAAGTTCGCCGTAGTTCATTGTGAATCCTCTCTTGGCCTAATGCGCAGCATCATCGGTCTTTTCCTCGAAGCACTCGATAACAGCTTTTAGGTTGGAGTCACTAAGTTAGCTGTCGCAGATTTCCTTTGCTCCTCGTCGCGGAAAATCAACAGCGAACGAGCATATATGGCAGGATTCTTCGGAGTCATGTCTGGCTTCACAAGGTGGCCTTGAAAACATGTCAGGCACAACATTTGTCTTCCCTAGCTTATAGTCGATGTGCAAGTTGTAAGGTTGTAAGAGCAATGCCCATCGAGCTAGGCGTCCAGTTGGTGATTTTAACGTCATCAACCATTTAAGCGGCCGGTGGTCCGTGATTAGTGTTACTTCGGATCCCTCAATGTAGCCACGGTACTTTTGGACAGCCCATACGATGGCAAGAGCTTCCCTTTCAATCGTAGAATAGTTTTGCTCTGCTTTTGTCAAGAGCCTGCTGGCATATGCTATGGGGTGTTCATCTGAACCCTCCCCCTGGATCAAAACTGCCTCTAGGGTGTAACCACTGGCATATGTTTTAATGGCGAATGGCAGGTTTTCGTCGACTTGCTTTAGGATGGGTGACGTAACCAACAGCTGTTTCAGCTCATCAAACGCAGCTTGCTGCTCATCTTCCCAAACCCAAGTGGCATTCTTTTTCGTCAGTTGCGAAAGCGGTTTTGCGATATCTGCGAATTAGGGTACAAAGCGTCTGTACCAGGAACATGACTGTAGAAAGGATAACAACTTAACATTTTTAGGAGGCTTGCGCAGAGATATTGCTGTGACCTCTTGGGGATCCACTCTTATGCCATCTGGTGACAGGATGTGTCCCAAATATATCACTTCGCGACATGCAAACCGACATTTGTCTTTATTGATCTTGAGACCGAATTGTTGTATACGGTTGAAAAGTCTACTAAGTTCTTCAAGGTGCTCTTCGAAGTTCCTTGAACGTAGGATTATGTTGTCCAAATATGTAAATATTGTTAAGTTACTTAGAGATGCTTTGAGCCGATCGATTAGTCGCTGAAACTGTGTGACGAACGCAGTTTTATTATGGTCTTCCTTCACGCCGATTTGCTAGTAGCCAGCCTGCAGATCCAATGTCGACATGAAATTGGTAACTTTAGCTTCATTTAGCAAGTCATCAATCTGTGGAAGAAGATACCGTTCCGGCTTGGTGATGGCGTTTAGTTCTCGTTAATCGATGCAAATGCGCAGATCGCCTGTCTTCTTGGGTACGATAACTACAGGAGCTGCCCATGGCGATTCGCACTCTACTATTACTCCAGTCCTGAGCATTTCGTTTATTTCTTGTCTCAAGAAAGTCTTCCGCTGCGGTGGTAGACGATATGGTGGCGAAGAAATCGGTAAATGCTCACGCGTATCGATGCTATGTGTGGCAAACGGTGTTGCAAATGTTGACTCTTCGAATACTTCGTTATGTTCGAGCAACAGCTTGTCCAAATCTCTACGCTGTTCAAGCGTGAGTTCGCAACCAGCTATCTGAGTTGGTGGACTCAACTCAAGACAGTTCAAAGGGGAAACATTTTCTTTGCAAAATGGAGGCCCAAACAGACGGGAGGAGTTTTCGGGCGTAGATTCACCAACCGGTACTGAACTTTTGAAAATTTGCTGCACTGAGTGTGGAGAGTAGTCGTTTGAATGTGAGCGTTTCTCTTTTACTGCTGGTCCAAAGTTTCTTTCAGGAGATATTTCTGGGGAAAGGGCATCGTCGATGTTAGTGCCACTCCTCATAACGTAGCGAACGAAGTTTGAGTACTCGTTTACCGCTTTAGTACGAGGCGATAGCCGGTTGCATGTTACCACATGTGCGCCCGCTATGTCTATAGCTGACGGCAGACCACTTACACTTGGCTTGGCGAATTCGAATTTTACCTTGGGCTCGTCTTCGAAGTACCAGTAGCGTTGGTCCATGTTCACCACAAAAAGTCCGCTCCAATCAGGGTACGACTCTTCGTAGCATTTGAAAGAGATATCATCCGTATTTTCCGAACTCTATGGCCGATTGTAATGTCGCAAATGGTTGATAACACTTTTTGCGCGGTAGTGCTTCCATCTGCCAACGTGACGTCAGCCATGACATCCTGGAAAACACACCCCTTTTTCCACAATCTTTTCTTCAAGTTTGCGCTGGCAAACGCGCTCTCTTATCTGCACTGACAGGAGGCCGTATATCATATTGAGTTGCACCCCTTCGCTGACGATCTTTCAATTGTGAAAACAACAACCGCTTCTTGCAAATAAAGCTATCGGAGGCTTCGCGCATTTGTTGCTTATGTTCAAAAACACTTAATTAAGTTTTCCAATCAGGCGTTGGAGGAGAAAATGTCGCTCGTTTTAACTCTATGGCGTCGGTGAATGTTGACACGGATTCTTTCACACCTATCCACCAAGTCGCTGCATAATCCTCGAGTAAAAGTGGCATACCGCGTAGCGCATCAGCATCAGGAATTTTCTCGATGTCTTTGAAGACTGTTATAGCAGCAACAAATTCCTCTACCGCTACTGGATCCCATTGTCCTGTAAAGCGCGACGTGCATTGTGTAAAAGAACCGTTTTTACCGCCGCTGGAAATCGCTTCCAGTATTTGTGAAAATGGTTCGGGCGAGAATGTCGCCATTTTGTGCACGCTTGTCGGTTCGTCGGCGAGATTCGAGGCCACTGTGTTGTGCGCCAATGAAGAGTATGACTTGCCGTTCCTTCAACAAAATGTCATAGGATTGGCCAGTCACACCAATTCCTTAATCTTTTGTAGTGACCGCGACTACGCGTCTTGATGGACCTATCCGATAATCCGGACGAGAGGCGCTAATCTGTGTATACTAAATTGTCTTTATTGAAGTTAGTTGTCTGAAGCAATATTGGACGAACCAACTTAACCGACGCAAAGACGAAAAGTAAAGTTTTACAATGCTAGCACGAGTATTTATAGGCGATCCTTACGATGCTGATCGTCAGTGATGCGTTTTAGAGTTCTCTTATAAGCTAAACAGAGTTGCATTTTACATGACATTACAAGGAGTTTAGACGTAAAACATAGAACCGTATGCTATCAAGTGATATAAAATACAAGCAATGAATATACATATAAATAGCGGTCGTTACAGCTCATATATTTCTTAGTACATGCATACATAGATTCCCTTCAAGATCAATGATTTGATGGTATTCATGGGAAAGTTTTTGTAGGTACATTTTACACTTTGAACATAAATGTGTATGCACATATTTTAAGGTACACTTCTTAACAACAAATTTTTTTAAGTTATTATGCAAGGATAAAAGAAACATCCTCTTTGAATTCCGTACTAAAGTTTGACATTTTATTTTTAGTATTTCAAGTGCTTATCACAACTTTACGACTCTGCAGTTTTTACTTTAATGAAACCCCAAGGTTCAATTTTTGCGCAACATTAAAAAAATCAACAAATTTTCGTAAAAATTTCGGGCTTTTAACTAGATTTCCAAGAAAAACACGTTTTGAGAATTCCGTTTGTTCATTTTCTTCGTTAAAACAAATCGCGTTTAGATAATATGACATTGACGGTAAATTCCAGCTACTTTAAACTTGCACTTTATTATACTAAAATCGAAATAGAAAGCTCGAAATTTTTACGAAAGTTTGTCGATTTTTTAATGTTGTTCAAAGATTTAAACTTATTTTCATACAGCTTTTGTTAAGGAATTAACTATATTTTTATAAACAAATAATTAGAATTAAAAAATAATAGAATAAATAGTCAACTCTAGTCAATATATGAGTGTCGTGAAGTTATGATATTTAAGAACATAAAGAATTAACGATGACACTGTTTCTAACTATATGAAGCTGATTTCGACATTTTGTTTTAATAAGATTTAGTATCGAAAATATTCTTTCAAAACTTTCCTAGGAATGTGAGGTTGATAGCACACCTTTTGCTATGTTATAGTGGTTATTTCAAAACCTACAATGGCAAAAACGAGAAGGCGAAGACAAAAATTAACAAAAAATTGCCGCAGTGAGTTTTCAGAGCTACGTATATATTTATAGTATTCATCACAAAATTGTACTAAAAAGTACTGCGTAGTAAACGAAATTGTATCAAAAGAGTACAATTGTACCAAAAATACCAACACTGATGTAGCGCAAAGCAGAACACAAATAATTAGGGCTGTGCGATTATTCGATTACTCGAGCAAGTTGGTTAATCAGTTATTCGGTTAATCAATTACTCGAGTAATCAAGATTTTGATTACTCAAAACGATGATTAATCGAGTTACTTGAAATATGATTACTCAAAAAAATTAATTTTGCTCGTTAAAAGAGTTTGCTTTGGAAAATGCTTATTTTCTTTTTTATATTCTGTATATGAAAAAAATATGTATGTATGTATGTATTTCATTTTAATTTCTGAAAACAGAAACGTTTTTTT